TAACCAACATTTTTCTAATCGTGTATAGACACGAAGTACACTAATAGTAGTGTACTTCAGAAGGAAATATCTCAATAAACTCCGCAGCAACCTATATATTTCTTATGTTGAGTTAAAGGAGTGATAGTTAACCTATATGTCTCTAGTTTTTTGTACATGTAGGAAGTGATTTAAGAGAGTTACAATGACATTTCAGGTGAAAAAAGTGCCATCTTCATAAGAGGCTATGTATAAGACGCTCACTTGAAAAGCGTTATACTAAAAATTTTCCGGAGCAACCTGTGCTGAAATTTTACGCTGAGGTAAAAAACATGCTCATTGACCGTGGACTTTAATTTAATCCATTTCCCAAGTACTTCGATAAGTATGTTGAGACTCCTTAAAACGCTTGGCTATCAATCAAAAGGTCGTATATTGAAATCCCGGTCTTTTTTTTTTTTTTTTTTTTTAAGGAGGAAGAGACTTCCAGTAAGCGACTTCTGTTTCATGGGAATCTGTCGTTTTTAAAATTCCAGCCCTCTAAGCACGCGACATAAAGAACTTCGTTCTAAAAAAAATTTTATTTACTACTACTTATGTACTAATCTTAATACTAATGTGATATTACATTTTCATTCGTATCTATTATTTTTGCAGAATACATCTTAATCTACTCATTGCACATAGTTTTCTTTGGTTTATACATATATATATTAGTGCATCATTAGTGTCTATGGTTTTGTTTGTCAATTGTTTTTTGATTTATAGGCTACTCGTTGTATTGGGATTCCAAAAGGTCACGTGACTCTCGCGGTATATATAGTCACTTGGGGGAAAAATAACACAGGCCTTGTAGGTGCAATTATATTTTTATTTCTTTTACCTGTTCAACGATTGTAATACGATAAAAGCCTTTCCATAACGTATTTTTGAGAAGATGACAATTTTCTACGTGCACAAGCTGAAAAAGCGATCGCAGCAATACCTGTGCTAATATGTGAAACTAAACGATAGGTTTGTCTTCTGCTAGCAGACTGCTTAGCATTACTATCATCAGAAAGTTATGTGTTTATACATCGACAACCATTCTAAGGGTTAAATTTTTAATAAAATTATGAGTAGTATGTACATATTTTACTCAGGCATGTTCATTAAAAAACGCAGTGAAATACATTGGATACTGTGTATTTCTTAGAGTTTTTAGCTGGGGTCTGATCCTCTAAGCGTATCGTATGAACGTGTGTCCATACTGTGTGAACACGCCGGTATAGGGCTAACGGAGCTCTCTGATTGGTCAGAGGAGGTCTGCGTTGACTAATTGCAAACTAATAAAATGTATCACGTATCACACAGTACACGGACTTGTGTTGAAGTAATACTCAAGCGCTTATAGTGCTTGTAGTACGAATTTTGTCTTTAGTTTTTCACGTGTGATTGTACCACTTGAGACATTGTATTAATTCGTGATATAATAAACACAGAACCTTTCGTGTATCTATCAAGGTGCTGTGATCCTAGAGGTATCAAGCACATATCGCGAATATTGCCTTCTGCTGTGCCAGACCAATAGTTCTCGTTTTTCCCTAGGATGGCGCTGCTTCAAAATTGTGCACGTAGCGAATACCTTAGCTATTTTTTCCCAACTCAATTAGTCTTTTACAGCTTAAAACTTTCCTTTGAAAGGGCGAAAACGCACATTTAACCTTACCAAAATCCCGCTTGTTGTCCTATATATAGTCGGGAACGGGAGAACTTTGTACAGGTTAAATGTGCATTTTCGCTCTTTCAAAGGAAAGTTTTAAGCTGCAAAAGACTAATTGAGTTGGGAAAAAATAGCTAAGGTATTAAACATATCCTCAAAAATATGTTATTGAAAGGCTTTTATCGTATTACAATCGTTGAACGTGTAAAAAAAAATAAAAATAGAATTGCACCTACAAGGCCTGTGTTATTTTTCCCCCAAGTGACTATATATACCGCGAGAATCACGTGACCTTTTGGAATCCCAATTGGGATATTTATACCTTAGCTCTTTTCCAACTCAATCGGTCTTTTTAAGCTTGAAACTTTTCTTTAAACATGCAAAACGCCACATTTAACCTGTACAAACCTCTCTCGTTCTCGACTATGTAAAGAAAAACAAGCCGGGCTTTTTTAAGGTTAAATGTACGTTTTCGCACTTTCGAAGAAAATTTTAAACTGCAAACGACTTATTGAGTTGGGAAAAAGTAGCTATGGTACTGTCATTTCCTCGAAAATATGTTACTCTAAGGCTTTTATCTAATTAGAATCGTTAAACGTTAAAAAAATATAAAAATAGTATTACACCCATGGCCTGTCTCATTTTTCCACCAATTGGCAATATACATCGCGACCTTCATATATCATGTGACCTTTTGGAATCCCAATAGTTTTATGGCTGTAATGTAATTGTTTTCAACATTTTTGGTAATTGTATAAGTTTTCTCCTGGTTATGCTTTTTAAATTTATATACTGTTTTTTTTAGCTCTTAGTCGTATGTACATAGATATTCTTAAGCAAAGTTTTGTTTTATTTTTAAAGGATTTTCTAATAAAAAATTAATTTAAGGGTTATAATACTATGTTTTCTTTGTACTGTTTTTATTTTGTTATTGTAAGCCCATGCTACTCTTCTATAATTTGCTACGCTATGAAAAAAGCGTAATAATTTTTTTTTCTTTAATCTATCATGATAGATTTATTTAGAAAATTTGTAAAAATTGTTAATTAAATATTGAAGATTTAAGTAGTTTTTTTTAAACATATATCCAACATGTTTTAATGAATAAAAATATCAAAATTTGGTCTATTAGTGTAATATAGAAAATCTACACGGTAAAACTTTTATTTCGTTGTATGAAATTTACAATTATTAATTTATTGCTTTTTTTTCAAGTTTGCTGATTAAAGTTTACTTCAACAACCATATCAACATGAAAAAACATGGGCAAGAAGTTTTCGCTATAGATAGGTCTCGTCAATTCGAATTTAATATACATAAACAAGGTATTTATCTAACTATTCAAGTACAAAAATCTCAACAGCATTCTAGCAAAATAATCACAATAAATACAAAATTCTTGTCTTACAATAATATTGGTTTAAATCATTTTTAAGATGATTTTTATATAATTAAAAAATTCGTAAACTTTTTGTTTCAGATACAAGCATTTTGATTCAAAGAGAAAAAACAAATAATTATTGGGTCAAACTTTAAAAAAAAGTTTTTCCTATTACAGTTTAAAAGTAAGTTACCAATCTTTCATTTTAATCGAAAATTAATCGGGGATATTAGTACTCCATTTTTTAATTCAAAAAGTACCAATTGAATTTTTTTTGTTTCAGAGCAAAGTATTTCCACGTAAAGATGAAGAAAACTTTTTGAGCTAACTTTAACTTTTGAAAGAAGTTAATGGTAAAACTTGCTTATTTATGTAATAAAAGTGCCTTTATTGTTTATGAGTAATAACGTATTTTTGTTTCAGATATGAAAACTACCAGTTTACTAGTTTGAAAAGAAGATGAAGAAAATTTTGTGAGCTAGATTTTACTATGGATTTAACGATTTCGTGTAAAATAAACATTGCATATTATACAACCGATGTAACTTCATTTCAAATAACTTACCTGTATCACCTCGTTACGATAAAAAGTAAAAGATTTTAATGTTGATTTAAATTTTAAAATGTTGATCAGCCAATAAATTTATTAAAAATGATGTAATTTAAATATAAAAGCTTGAGATTTCAGACTTCGGGTAAATTACTTTTTATTTGTATGAATTGTAATTGAGACATCGAAAAATTTGTTGTACTTAGTTTTCAAGTAAATACAAAAGTTATGCTAAATTATTAACTAAATAGTAACCTATGTAGAGTAAAATGTAGTAGTTTAAAGTAAATAAAATTATTAAATGAGACGAGAAACCATATTGATATAAGCATCTCTATGTAAGAAACAATATTTGAAGTAGAAAAAGATACCTTAACAAAATTATCATTTTATAGTCTACTTTTTGCAGATGAAGAAATAAATAGCATACACGAAATGAACTATTATTTAAATTACTGCACGCTTTTAGCATATCTACCACCAAGTCTTTTTATTGCACCTATAGAAGTATTTAGTTAAAATTTAACAAAAATGAGTTATATTGTGAATCGTAAGAGATCTGCCAATAATTAATGTGCTGCAAGGTAAAAAACAGACTCTCAGATAATTTTAACACGTTATTTATATACATATAAGTAGAAAACAGGTATTGGTTTTTCTTTTCCTTTCGTTCTTACACACACTTTTACAGAGAGAGAGATAGGAAACTCAAAAGGAAAAAGGAGAAAATCATAGTACGTAAACTGTTCATTGATCGATATGAGAAACTTGGGCGAGAGCTTACCATGTTTTCACATTATTATCCATGAGATACCTATACGTAACCAGTGACACCAGCTTTGGCAATATCAGCATGATTAAAATTAATTTTATTAGTAGTGAAAAATGTGGAAAAGCCGTACACATAGTACACAGCAACGCATTTTTAGTCGCTTAAGGTGGAGGGTACACATAAATATGGGTTACTCGACAAAAACGATATTTTCATGTCCTAATTGAGATCTTTTAAATTCTACGTTTAGACATTTGTCAATATTTTTTCCAAATTATGAGAGGTCTAAACATTTATGGCGCGCATTAAAAAAATGTCAAAATTAGGCTTCACGAATAAAACATCCCGTAAAAAATTTTTTTGACCTCGTCTCAAAAATGTATTTAGAGAAAATTTGCTTACACCTTTTTAAAAAAGTTCTAACTTGTAATAATTCAATCTGTCGGTTTTAAACGTAGGCTTCTTGGCATGTCGCAGTTTTTGTGAAATGACCCATATATTAGAAACACGAGAAGACGGTAATGGCATTGGCAATGGCAAGGATCGGCCTGGCTTGCTGGAGGGCAAGGTATATAAATGGTGGGGGGTATTACGGTATTAGGTACTTTTACGATGGTGTGAGATTTCCTCTGCATGTGTTGATTTTTCTTCCTTTTTCGCGCGGGTGAAGCTGCTGGCAATGCTGGCTTGTTAGACTAGCCCACACTAGCAACAGCATTAGGTTATCGGTTACCTAATTGTGTTTATACTCATGTAACTGTACAGGCTAGTGCAATACACTATTTGATTGTAACTTTATTAAAAGCTGGAGGACTTGACTTGAGGGAGTGCGGACTGCGGAGTGCAGTTTATAGTGTGAAGAGCACACGTACGTAGAGCACAGTGCCACTGCAAAATTGCAGAAGCAGAGAGAGAAAAAAAAATAAAAAGGATAATACCTATATATATGCCGTCTCCAGTTTATGGTGATGCAGGCGTTTTGAGAGAGCATCGGGGAAAAACAAGAAATTCTTTTTGGAGCATTGTTTTTTATTCACCATGTCTGATTCTGAATCTTGTTCACCGGACTTGGCTGCTACCACTGTCTCGAAAAGCCCCAGTCTGCTAGAGAATCTGCGCAAGTTTCGCTTCCAGAAGAAAAGTGTCAAGAAGATGGTCACATGTAAGGAACTTCATGATTTTACTTTACTCTTCGTTTTTGATATTGCTCTCGCTGTGTTGTAATCATCCTTTTAATTTTGTTTACCTTCCAAGTCTGCCTTTAAAGTGTGATATACTTGCATCTTGTTGGAGTATATAACATGCCTCATATTGTACTTCCAAGGACTCTGCATGGTTTTCGAATTTTTTATATCTTATGATCTCAGGCTTCCATTGGAGCGTCACTTATTTGTACCATATTTAGTTTTAAGAATGTAGCATTTGTTTGATTAAAATTTTCTACGTCTAATTTAATAGGTGTGCCAATTATTTTCTCTTTAATGTATATAATGATTTGCCAATTATGTTATTTTTACAGCTGACGAAGACAGTAATCTATCCGCTCCAGAGGTACGAAGAAAACCTGTCAATCGAATTGATGACAGCGATAGCGAGGGGGAAAATCTTGCCAAAGCAACTGCCTCTAATTCAGAAGAAAGTCCTAAAGATGACAAAGAGGAGAAAGTCAAGTATCTGACCGATTTATTTTCTCATATTGAAAGAGAAGTAATAATTAATCGATAACAACATTTGATGGCACAAAATGCAGTTATGTATGCAATTATTTAACCAATTTTTACAGAAAATTAAAGAAGTGCTTGGTGAATCAAATTGGGATATGAAAATAGCTAAAGAAAAACTTGAAAGAAATAAAAAAAGGCGATTAGAGAAATCAAAGAAATCAAAGAAAACCAAGCGCAAAAAGAGAAATTACCGTGATGATGAGGATAGAGACATCGATTCAGATGACTGTGGCTATAGCAACAATAAAGTTTTTGACATGTAAATATTAACGTTGAAAAATCTCACGTGCTCCTATCGTCATTAAAATTGATTTGATTGTCGAATTTAAAATTTATATTTTCATAGGTCAGATGAGGAGTCTGATTATGAGGTAACAGACGATTTGTCGGGTGATAGGCAAGCAGTAATGAACTTTTTGCAAAAGGCGCTACCAACAGAGTTACTATTACTGCATCAGTGTACTCAAAAAAAGGTCAACGCTATAATCGAAGCTAGACCATTTGAAGGTTGGAAAGATCTGGTTTACAAATTTCAGTGTACAAAATTTTTAGACACCGAACTTCTGAATGCTGCTCAAGTTAGTTAATAATAACTCGAATTTTAAAATTAACAGCAAAAATTGTAAAAGCATTAAAAAAGCATATTTTCCCCTCAGGATTTGATACAAACAAGACAAGTGATAGATAATCTTATGAAAAAATGTCTTGGATTGTCTGCAAACATGGAAAAGGCAGTAGCTGCTGGTTCAGCAATGATACAGGAACAGCCGAAAACTCTTTCTCCAGGATTAAAATTAGCACCTTATCAAATGGTTGGGCTTAATTGGCTTGCTGTGATGCATGCACAAAAGGTAAATGGAATCCTAGCTGATGAAATGGGATTAGGTAAAACTGTACAGGTCATTGCTTTCCTTACCTACTTGAGAGAAGCCAATCTGATAGACGAAAAAGATGGCCCACATTTAATAATCGTACCAAGTTCGACAATAGGTTTGTAAAATTTTCATTATGACGAAAATTATAAAAGTAACAATGTCATTATCAGCTTAAAGATTCTTTTGTTTATGTGTTTTTAAGAGAATTGGAGTAACGAGCTCGAACGCTGGTCTCCTGGACTGAAAGTTTCCAAGTATTATGGCTCTCAAGACGAGCGTAGAGAAATGAGATTTGGATGGCGTAATGGTGATTTAGATGATGTAGATATAATTTTAACGACATATAATCTCATTAGCAGCACGCCCGAGGAACGTCGTTTGTTCCGTGTTATGCCTGTAAAATACGTAATTTTTGATGAAGCGCACATGTTAAAGAACATGAGTACAGTGAGATATGAAAATTTAGTTAGGATAAAAGTAAGTCATGTAGTTCATTCTGCAAAATCTTCTTTGTAGAAACGTATTAAAACTAAGGATGTTGGTTTTTGCAGGCTCAGCACAGAATTTTGTTGACCGGAACACCGTTGCAAAATAATTTATTGGAATTAATGTCTCTACTTATTTTTGTGATGCCTTCTATGTTTGCCAGTAAACAAAATGATTTGAAAAATCTTTTTTCTAAAAATCCTGTGAGTCCATTACATGAATTTATTACAAAATTTGTTAATCACGTAAAAGCTTATTATTAAATTTGCGTAGAAAATTAATGCCAACAAGTCAGACGAAGCTAAACCACTCTTTGAAGAGGAGCAAATTAATAATGCAAAACAAATTATGAAACCTTTTGTGTTGCGTCGCCTAAAGTCTGATGTTTTGAAAGATTTGCCAACTAAAAGTGAAGAAGTCATAGAATGCGAAATGATAAAAACTCAATGTGACATGTACAACAGTTTAGTTACTAGGTTTTCCGTTGAAGCTAGAGAAACTGATGAACTGGATGGAATGGGAATGATGATGCAGCTACGTAAACTCGCAAACCATCCTCTTCTTCTTCAAAATTACTACACTCAAGATAAATTAAAGGTTTACATAGCAATTTTTTGGTAAATATTGTATTTAATCCATTCCATAATTTGACTTTTATTTATCAGCGTATTTCTGAAAAACTCGTGAATGAGTCTGGATGGAAACAAAAAAATGCTCAATATACATTTGAAGATTTGTTATGGATGTCTGATTATAAAATCAACCAGCTTTCTCGAACGTATAAAAGCCTTGCTGGATTTGGTTTGCCACACCATCTGATACCAGAATCTGGAAAATTGAAAAAGTTAGATGAATTGTTGAAGGAATTACATGCTGATGGACACAGAGTTCTCATATTTAGTCAATTTACAATGGTCTTGGATATTTTACAGGAGTATTTAACAATTAGAAATCACAGACATCTCAGGTGAGTAAATAAATTGTTTATAAAATATATTGATGGTCTGTTAAATTTATACTATGAATAATGCGAAAATATACTCAATATTTTAAGACTTGATGGTCAAACCCCAGTAATGGAAAGGCAAGATTTGATAGATGAATTCACAGAAGATACTGATATATTTGTTTTCTTACTGTCTACGAGAGCTGGTGGACTAGGTATTAATTTAACTGCAGCCGACACCGTCATCATTCACGATATTGATTTCAATCCATATAATGACAAACAAGCGGAAGATCGTTGTCACAGAGTTGGACAGAAAAAGTAAAATAACCAAATAGTGAATTACCCGAAAAAACTAATTTAATGGGAAATTTTTTTCAATTCACATTTTATTTTAGGCTGGTAAGAATAATTAGGTTGTTGAGTAAAGGCACCATTGAGGAGGGAATGTATAAAATCGCTCAAGAAAAATTAAATTTAGAAAAGAAAATAACTGGCAATGAAGGTAAGAACATTCAATAGTCTTTTTTTTAATTTTATTTGCAGATTATTATTTTGATGCAACGAATTGTTTCTTATTTTTTTAGAGAACGAAAGTAAAGAGAAAAAGAGCTTATTGAAATTGTTAAAAATGACCTTAGGCTTGGATCAAAATAAACTAATAAATTTATCTCCTGCGAAAAATGGCGATGCTAATGGGTTTTCTGAAAACGACGTTTGCAATAACAAAAACAAGGACCCAGAATTATAGGAACAATTTTTTTTTGTTTTTTTAAATATTTTTTTTATGAAACTTTTGTGATGTCTTTTATACTCGAATGTTATTGTCTAGCAAATACGTATATATGCGTTGTAAAGTAATTGTGGAATACTAATCGTTGGATATTCAACGACCTATTAGTACAAAGTACCTTTTTTTATATACATTTTATTTTTTACACCATAGATGAGCGCATACCTATCGTTGATTACGATGTAATTGATGAATAATGAATTTTTTTTTTTTTTTTTTTTTTTATGTCAGAATTGTCTTGTGTCCTGTTTTCAGGATATCAAGAATAGTACTTACACACGTATTACAATCTGATATTTATTTAATCATTATTTTAACACGATTTACTTCAAATAAAAAAATTAATTAAAAATAAATAAAAGAAAAAAAGTAAAACTTGATCTGTTCTCATGTATCCTTTTCTGTAAACGCAGAGACATTCATTGCACATATCAGAGGTTTTTAACATTATATAAGATTCGTGGAAAGCTGAGAACGATTACGCTTTTTCTTTATTCCGTTCTTTCCGTCAAATCTTCATTTTTCCCTCAATTTGGTCGCTTACTTAATCTACTATCAATAAAATAATAACGCAAGTGCCTATCCCCACACAAGCCGGGGCGCTTATTGGTCGCTTACTTAATTTACTATAAATAAAATTATAATGCAAACGCCTATTCCCACATGACCCGGGGCGCCTACTGGTCGCTTTGATTATTTACAATAAATAGAATAATGTGAACGCTAATCCCCACAAGACCCAACAGGCTTGCATTATTCAGTTGATTTTAAATAATTAAGTGACCAGCAACCACCCCTGGTTGTGTGGGGATAGGCGCTTGCGTTATTATTTGATTAATCATAAATAATTAAAACGACCAGTAAGTGCCTTGGGTCGTGTGGGGATAGGCGCTTGCTATGTTAATTGATAAATTTTATTAGTCATTCAAACTTATGAGGCTGCTTATTGTCCCATTGGGTTATTGGATTAAATAGCTTGGGATTAGTTTATTAATTTATTGTGCATGTAATTGTGTCGAGTTATGTGGGGATTTGCACCTTGCTCCATATAGCCAATTTGAATTTCCCGCAAGTTCGCCAGTCACATTTGGGGAGAACCACTGGCTCTTTCTCCCCCCTTTTATTTAGCTTTTGCATTTTTCTCATTAGGAATACTCTATATTATATCCTCCTCACCCAACACTGGCCGATACGGTAAAAGAAAGAGATAGTTGCCGAGTGTCCTCTCCATCTCTTTCTAGCTGAGCGCTGTGATTGGCTGAATAGCTGCTGCTCAAGGGGGTATTCTGGCCGTCAGCGGCAAAGACCAACCGAGAAACTTCTGAATTAGAAATAGTCCGGGTCGTAATCTGGAATTCGTGGGAGAAATTATTTGGATAGGATTTTTTTGCATGATCTTACGCAAAATGATCACCTCAAAATGAATTTGCATGTTGCCAGGTTTCAAAGTTGTAGGAAAAATGTTTCAACAAAATTTTTTTAACAAATTAATAATATTGTTTATTTTGCCCTGGAAAAATTTTTTTTAGCTTTTTTGGACAATTCTAAACAAAAAAGATGTCTTGCAAATTTTCTCTAAAATCAATACTTTTCGAGATATTAATTGTACAAAGTTTAAAAAACCGTGAAAATCGCCACTTTCAAGTATGAAAAACAACAATAAAAATTAAAAATTTTGATGTTGCCAAAGTTCTCAAATATTCTTCAAACATCCCTTGACAAAATCCTAAGGCGTTTCCGGATGTTATTTTATTGCAAACCCTTCATTTTTAATTTACAATCAAGCGTGTGCATCGTTACGGTCGGCCGCTGCTGGCCGTGGCTCTCATGCTCCGTCTCTTTCCCACTCACGAGGAGTACACGGAATTTACTGGCGCTCATATTTGATTTTAATGGTAAGTATATAGAGATCGAAGAGGTCGTCTATAAGAGAGAAAAAGGTGGTTTGATGTTTCGTCCCGGGAGCACGCCAGGACCCATCAGTAAGGCTGATGGCGTGCTCCCTGCCTAAGACATAGAGAAAGTGTGGGCTTAGATTATCTCGATCGCGCTTATATAGTAATCGTGCGGGAATTTCGCCGCTTGACGGGAGCGAACTATGAGGGGCTTAGCCACCTGGCGAGTGGAGCCTGAAGCGCGAGAGATGTGAGACGCCACATAGACGCGCGTGATTCCTGTATCAGCGGCAGCGGCGGCGATCAAACAGGGTACGATTCAGGTTGTAACAGCAAGCACAGCGCAACTACGGCAAGGAACGCAAGGTTTAGTCAAGCCGATTATTAATACTGCGCGAGCCAGTCCGGGACCTAATCAGGTTAGGCTTCAAACTGTAGCTCAACAGCAAGTTCATGCGCAGCAGCAGCAGCAGCAGCAGCAACAACAACAATCGCAACTCAGCCAGTCTGATTCTCAGTCAAAGTGAACTGCGGCACTTTTTCGCAAAGTATATAATCACGCAAAACGGAATTATGTTGGTTTACGGACAATTGTACATACTATTGTCACATTGTACGTCGATATTGAAACATTCCATACTACAGTTAATCATTGCACAAATATCCTTCCATTAAGTGTTTAGTTTTTAAGAGACATCTTAATACTTGAGTTGAGACANTAATTTGTTTAAAAAATTTTGTTGAAACATTTTTCCTACAACTTTGAAGCCTGGCAACATGCAAATTCGTTTTTAGGTGATCATTTTGCGTAAGATCATGCAAAAAATCCTATCCAAATAATTTCTCCCACGAATTCCAGATTACGACCCGGACTAAAAGTTGTTGGAAAAGAAGGCGTTTTTGATATTTTCTGTAATTTGACCTGCTGATTACGATAAAAATAAATAAAAAATTTTTCGAGTGGTGGATCAATGTTAAAATCGCATTTGAAATTTTATTTCGCTCATATCTCAGTAACGATAAGAGCTATAGTAAAAATATAAATAACAGCGTATAGTGCGGAAAATTTCCTATCGATTTAGTCTATTTGAATTATTTAGACAAGCACAAAATTTCGAGAAAAAAAATTGCAAAGAAGATTTTGTACTTAAATTGTAAGAGTGAGACAGAGAGAGCGACCGAGTCCCCTGCACCCAGCAGTGTCCCCCACTATTCCACCGACAGTAGCAGCGAAGGAGAGAGAGAACCAGAGATAATGTGAGTGTTTGTAAGTGTGGCTGCTGCACACGTGCACACACGGCAACACGGCTTATCCAACGGTGAAGCACCAACTCACTCAATCCACTGACATTTCGTTTGAAGCTTTTTGTATGCCTATACAGATTTTTTAGACGACCGGCTCACACGTTTTTAAAGTAGCCACAAAAAATGTATAATGGAAACTGTTTTTTCCTTTATAGGGTTTTTTTCACGATTTTGATAATTTCCTGTCCAGTTAGCAGTTCCAGTTATACTGACACAGGTTATTGCATCTTGAGCATCAGCCAATCACAGCGCTCGGGTAGAAAGAGACAGAGAGGACACTCGGCAACCATCTCTTTCGTTTACCGTATCGCCGTATTCAGCGGATTCAGCCTCTAGCCGCTCTAGCGCACTCTTATATCCTTATATCTTATGGGTTTAACTAAATAGCTGGTTTTCAGTTCTGTCAATATGCATGTACGCAGTTGATCATCAGTATAGTTAACGCAGAAACAAAAGTGGTTTTAGGATAAATTTATAATTATTAAATAGTACTTGTACAATCTTCTGATTATATGACTCCAAGATGGGTAAGGGTTTCAATAACTATATGTGCAAAAAATTCTTTCACCCAGCTTCCAGAGACAACCTCAAACGAGTGAGTATAATTCTCTGCATCTGAGAATCATGAAACCTCTTCAATAAATACATACATCCACAAGTGCTTTATCTTGAACGCTAATTTAATTGCTCAAGTCTTTTTTTTTTAAAGATACTGATAATTTTTTCATTATTTTTCTACAGGTATGGATGGCTGAACAGCAAGCTGAAGCTTACAAAAAGAAGCAAGAAGAATTACGTATGCAATATGAAAAAGAACAGGATCTGCACAATAATAAGTACATATAAATTATCTTATGTTGCACGTCTTTAAGGTTATAGCTCAACAATCAGGGACGAAATTGTAATGGAACTTTGATGTGCCATAAGCTACCAAAAAACGTTTTGTATGATAAATGTAGTAGTGTGAATGTATTGTCATGTATTGAGAAGTGAGAGTAATATAGTAGGGTCATTTCACAAAAACTGCTATATTTTCACGCTCTACTTAAGATTCTTTTTAATTAATGTTTAGAATTTTTTCATTATTTTTTCCAAGCTATGCGAGGTCCAAATTAGATGGATTCCACGGTCATTTTTTAAAAACTCATGTTAATTTAAATGCAATTTTTTTTTAATTTTAAAAAAGCGTTACAGCAATGACACGTGTCACGGTACTTTTTTTGCGATTGTGAAGCCCCAAGATGGAATTTTTCAACGAAATTTCGTTTGTCACATCTGCACCCTAGGCCCCTTTGTACACCATAGTCATAAAGTCGATAATTTTAAATCCCTCCGAGATTAAAGGAGTTACATTAATGGCCGCTTATTTTATTGGAGTAAACGTTCTTCTGTATTTGCAACAACACTACAAATAGCTACATTTAGATTTGGATCTGGAATAAAATAGACAGTGTTCTCGTGCACTCCAAAATACAAAACGATTCATTCCTAGTCTCTGAAAATTATTCACTTGGCCAAATCAAATTATTTGTGCTGCTCAATTTAAGTGTCAAAATTAGGCTTCACGAATAAAACTTCCCGTACTTGAAAATAAATTTTTTTTTTGTTCTAAACTATGAGATGAGGTGCTTGACACCTCAAATTTTCAAATAGTACATTGTAAAAAAAACTAAAAAAATCAACGTCTAGGCACCAGAAGCTGCAAAAAATGAAGTTTTTTTAAATGTTTCACATTACAATGATGACATTTTGTCCTGTTTTTCAATATTACAGTCACGCAAAAAATTTTTTTGACCTCATACTAAAAACGTACTTAGGAAAAATTTGTTTACACCATTTTTTAAAAGTTCCAACTTATAATAATTCAATCTGTTGGTTTTAAATGTACGCTTCATGGCATGTCGCAGTTTTTGTGAAATGATCCAGTACACAAATTACGAATTAACAAAACTTTTAGTTATTAATTTATGGACGTGTAGTGCAATTACTTTTTTAGTAACAATGGTAAAGTAATTAAAGGAATTCCTTAAAAACAACTTTTCACAATTGTTTTTGTCAATATCCAATTGATTTTTTCCACATGGGTGCTTAATAAACAAGTACATAATTTAAATGTCTATATTTTTTTTTAGAGCCTTGTTGAGTAAAGAAAGCAAAGACAAATTAAGTGTTAACTTTATGTATGAACCGCCTCCTGGTGCTAAAAAAGAAAGAGAAAAAGAAGACAATGAACCAGAATACAAGTTTGAATGGCAGCGCAAGTATAATGCACCCAGAGAGAGTTATTGTAAAGGAGACAGTGAAATAAGAGATCAACCTTTTGGTATTCAAGTACGTAATGTTCGCTGTATAAAATGTCACAAGTGGGGTCACATCAATACAGGTAATATAATATTCTGGAGATAAACTGTTAAAGTATTTTCACTATAGTAAACAACATATTGTTTTCCAACATTACAGACAAAGAGTGCCCTTTATATAGTCAGGCAATGAGTTCTGTGTTAGCCAACAATAATCCCACCGAAGATCTTCCTCCAGCTCCTGATGCTTTTGCTCTTGTTCAGCAAATGAGAGATGACGGATTGGCATTAAAAAAGTATTTATCATTCAAGTATAATGTCAAAAATAATTTTTGTAGCATTCAACTAATTTAGATTGCTAAATTTTTTATCTACTCTCTATAGATCAGCACTTAATGCTCAGCAACATTTAAATGTTCCACAAAGTCAAGAACTAATGGTCTCTGAAGATGAAGAAACACCAGAAGCAATATTTTTGAAATCTTTATCAAAGAAAGAAAAGAAAAAGCTACTTAAGTAAGTGCATATGACTTCGTTTTCTACTACACAAACAGTATTTCAATTTTATCATTATTCTAATCATATATTTACAGAAAACTTGAAAAATTAGAAGAAAAAAAACTTAAGAAAAAAATGAAAATGAAAAAATCGCTAAAGAAAAAGAAGAATACTTCAAAAAGTAGAAGTAGTGACAGTAGTCGTGATAGTAGTAGTGATTATACAAAAATTAATTTAAAAAGAAAACATGCTAGCAGTAAAAACAGCAATGAGAACAAAAATTTAAAGAAAAAAAAAAGTGGTTGGGATAAAAATGACATCAGCAGCAGCAACAGCAGTAGTAGTATTGATAGTAGCAGTGATAGTAGTTCCAGTTCTTCTAGTTCAGAAGAAGAAAAAAAGAAGGAAAGAAAAAGATACTACAATCTAGAAAAAGAATCAAAATCATATAGTAAATCGAGAGGTGAACATAGATCACAAAATGAAAGAAAAGATGAAAAAGAGAATTATGGGTGTAGATTAGATTTAAAATTAAGCAAACAAAAATCCGAACAGTACAAAAAAAATAAAGATCACTCAAGTTCAAGCCAAGAAAAAAATAGAAAAAGAAAATCAAGTGAGTCGAATGATGAAGAAAAGTATAAAAATAGAGACGAAAAACGCAGAAGAAGATAAAATACTGTTGTGTTTATAACCAAAATTTCTAACAGATAATTATCTCATGTTTATGTTATAAAGTTTAACTTATTGGCACGTAACTGGACCATTAAGATATTCAATTTTCAATTTTCTAAAGCTGTCCTCAGGTATTTATAGATAATACCATAAACTTTTTATTTATTCTAATTTATTCATCGTTAATTAAGCAATAATATTCATAATTATTTTAATTATACTTACAGATCTTTATGAAAATAAATTATTCCTATGCAACATTACAATAGTTACCTAATTTGTAGTAACCCATCTGATAAATATAACTATCTGTACATAACTTGTAAAACAGCATTTTACTAGGTAAACTTCTACCGTTTACAGTTATACTTTTTAGTAGATAATCTACCCGGATACCGCGATAGCCTATTGGCCTAGTCATCGGAGTCACCCACTCACCACCTATGTGTGGGAGTGTTTTCCTGCACCCATTTACGAATCCCTTAATTAACATCATATCTATGTTATATCATGGGCACAGCAGTCGGGAGCCAGAGGTTCAAAAAACATGATTTTTTGTTGTTTGGTGGAATTTAACGAAATCTTGCAAAAACTGTAGATTGTTGTCCATATAATGATCCTTTAAAAAAGTTGGAATGAACCTGGTCGGGAAAATCCTTTGTAATTGCAAAATAACTTTGAAAACCGATTTTTTTTTTTCAGTTTTCTGACAGTATCTCGGAAATAAAGCGTTTTATCGAAAAAAGTTGAATACAAAAGTTGTTTAAATGATGATTTTACGTAATGGAAATTTTTTTTCAAGAGCTGAAAATTGTTTATTCTTACCGAAAACATGCGGTAAAGTTGTTGTTGCGTATGTGCATCGATTGATTGAATTGATTGAATAGTTTTTATTGGCTTTTGAACTTATAGTTACATAGCCATTTCTATCGAAATGGATCAGGTAGTATACATGAGAATATTACATAATGAGATCCATTTAGGTATTATACACTAGTATATATACATATCCAGTTATATGAGATAAGATATCGATTGAATCATGATAATTATATTATTGGTATAGAAAATAATTTATAAAGCTTAGCCAAATGTCTTATTTGCTATTTAGGAGGGTATTAAATTAAATATTTTTATCTATTCTATCGATAAAATTAGCTAGTATTGAGATTGTTTGCTCGTCTAAATTGGCTAGTAAATTTTTTATGGAAAATGGACCATTTTTACCGATTTTATAAAACTTATTTAACATTTTGGTCCTTTCATTTTTGTATATATCACATTGCCAAAAAATATGTTCTAAGTTATCGGAATCTTTGTCACATTCGCATCTATCAGAGTTTACAATATTAAATCTATGTAAGTCACAGTTAAGAGCGGTATGATCACTTCTACTTCTATTTATCGATACAATTGTTTTACGCGAAATACAATGACCATGAAACCATGGTTTGGACCGAGGTTTATGATAAAACTTAAAATAATTGGTGCCTTTTGTTTGAAACATGGACAACAAGCTGGATTCGTTCTCTTTAAAACATTGTTCGCGAAATCTACTTTTGAGATCGGTGGCAGGGATCGCCAGATTTGCAGGAGGTCCCTCAATTGCTGCTGATTTAGCTACCTTATCAACTGCCTCATTTCCTTTTATTCCTATGTGAGCTGGAATCCAGAATAATTGAAATCTTCTGCCGAGACTCTGCGCTTCTGCGAGTTTCTTTTTAAGAATTAGTATTAGTGGAGATTCATATTTGAAGCCTTTGAGTTTATTAAGGGCCTTGAGTACACTGAGTGAATCAGTAAATATCTTAAATGAGTTGTTGCCGTTGGCAATAACAAAGTCTAAAGCTTTAGAAAGTCCTAAACATTCTGCCGAAAAGATTGAGGCATCGCCAGGAATATTGTAAGAGCATGTTAGATTATCATCGTAGGACCAGGTTCCGAAGCCAGCTTTGGGGGATTCATTAATGTTTGTTTTGGAACCATCTGTAAAAATGAAGTTACAGTTATCATTGTGGTCGAATATGTTGCTGAATTCTAAGTTGGGATCTACTGCAGAACGAATTTTTTGACCAGTTGTAAGATCGGAAGTGTAAGTAAAAAAATTAAGAGAGAAAGGTATAGTGAATTTAAGGAATACACTTGTTTGTATAATGAGATCTTCTAGATGCCAAATGTTTTCATAACAGTTTACAATTAGGGGCTTTTGGTGATTATGGGAGTATAGATTATGTTCCGATACAGAAAATAGTTCTTCTATACTTTTAAGGGTCGTATTTTCTTTGTTGGAGATAAGTTTGAGTAAAAATGAGTGGGCTAAATATTTTAGTCTATGCTTCAGTAGAGGAATTTTGGACTCTGCAGTGAGAACACTTATCGGGGTACTTTTCCGGTAGCCCATGGCCAACCTAATAGCCTGATTTTGGACTCTTTGTAGTTTATTGAAATGATTGTCGGAGCATGGTGAAATTAAAAAACCACAATATTCGAGGATGGATCTCACCATTGATTTATATAAGATGAGAAGTACGTCTGGATCACCTCCCCACCATGTGTGACGTAAACATGCAAGGATTTTGAGAGGAGCACAGCTTCTGGTCACTAAATAATCCACCTGTTTGTGCCAGTTTAAATGTTTGTCTAAGTACATGCCCAAGAATTTAACAAAGTCCGATGGGGACAGAGTACTATTTGATAGTTTTAGTGAATATTGGTCTAGTTTAATCCGATTTTTGCTAAAAACAACCAGTGTACACTTGTCTGGAGCGAGTTCTAGCCCCCTCTCGAGGAAAAATTTAATGATGATTTCAATCACTTGATTTAAAAGAGCTATAGAGGTTTCTCCATTTTCTAGTGAGGTATAAATAACTTCGTCATCTGCGAATCTTAAGAGGGTTGCTCGATTGTCAATGAGTTTGTTGAGGCCTGCTGTATATAGAGCATACAAAATCGGGCTAGAACAGAGACCTTGGGGAAGACCTATGTTAGTTTTGAATTTGCCTCTTACACTAGAGTTAACTGGAATCAAGTACCTGTCGTATATCAGGTTGCCAATGAAAGAAATAAATCGGTGAGGTAAGTTTAGTGCCTTTAGATTGTCGAGAAGAATGTCCGGAATCACGTTATTGAAGGCACCCTTTATGTCCAAGAAGACTGCTACAGTGCTTTTCTTAAGGTAAAACGATTTTTGTATGTCTGACGTTAGTCTAGTCAGGTTATCTGCACATGAGCGTCCTTTTCGGAATCCGTTTTGTTGGTCAGGAAGGATTCTTTCACTTTCTAGCCACCACACCAATCTATTATTTACAATTTTTTCCATGACTTTAAGGACGCAAGAGGCCATGGAGATAGGCCTAGCTTTACCATTTGGCTTAGGTAAAAAGGTAATCAGGTAGCAAGACCATTCTTCTGGGAAGAGACCCTTGTCATAAATATCGTTGTAAAGTTCTAAGAGTACTCTCTTATAAAATTCTGGTAAATTGGTCAGAATTAGATAATTGATTCTATCTGCCCCTGGTGCTGACTGAAGCTTAACGTTGTCTAGGACGTACAAAAGTTCACTATATGAAAATGGAGAGGATAGAATATGTGTTGGGTTGTCTGACGTGTGGTCCAAAGAAGAAAAATCAAATGCCTCTTTGTTTAGATTTTTTGGCTGTAATAATTCATTGAGACATGTAACTGTCTCCTTTAGAAATTTCTTATTACCACTAGAGTTATCAGGACGATTGAAACCTGATTTGAAGCGTTTGACCTTTGACCAGACTTCTGAGATTTTAGTTTGATGTGAGATGGATTCACAGAACCTTTTAAAAGACTTTTTTTTTTCTTCTCGAAATGTTTTTTTTGTTAGAGCAATGATTCTCTTGTGATTAATAAAATCTTGAAGATTGCATCTGTATCGGAGGGATTTAAGATTGGCCTTTCTGATCCTTATAGCTTTGTCACATTCAACATTCCACCAAATGGCATTAGGTTTTCTTTTTCTTTTGGGATTTTTGTTGCTGAAAGATGTTTGTGGATTTTTTGTCAGATCATTTTTTTTAAAATTGTAATTTAACGATTCTACTATACAAGAGTCAATGAAGGTAATGAACCTTTCATATCTTTCTAAGATATGACAGTTAAGAAAATCAATAGAAGAGAACATGTGTTTACCGGATTCTAATTTATCTTTGAACTTGGTCCAATCTAATTTACTTAAATTATACCTATAGTCAATTTTTGGCATGTGTTCAGGGGATGTATTTATTTCAATCTGGATTGGGAAGTGGTTGCTTCCCCATGTATCATCCAACACGAGCCAGGTTGTTAAGAGAGCTAAATTGTGTGAGATAAAAGAAAGATCGATATTTGAATATTTACACTCATTCTGAGAGATGGTAACGTGGGTATGGCTACCATCGTTAAGTAAGAAAAATTTATCATAATCCATATTGTCAACAAGGGTTCTACCGTTAGTACAATTCTTTTTACTGCCCCAGAAAGCATGATGGGCGTTAAAATCACCTACAAGAAGAAAAGAGTCAAATTGTGATACTTTAGAGGATAATTCAATCCAGCTTTCTTTACTAAGGTTGTTATTTGAATTTGGTCTTCTATAACAGCCAATTATACTTAACGGACCCAGACTCGTGTCCACCCTAATGGCGCCGACCTCAAATCCGGGTTCACTGAGTGGCAAATCTAGTACGTCAAAGATCAGGCTACTCCTGACAAAAAAGGCGATCCCCCCTCCTCTCTCGCCACTATCTCTGTCGAATCTGACCGTTTCAAATCCTTTTATACTGAATTTTTCGTGTGGTTGAAGCCATGTTTCCACAACCACGACGACATCAAAGTCTAGGACATTATGATACAAATCAAGCTTGTTGCCGATGCTTCTGGCATTCCATTGAATTATCTTTAGACTGGACATTTTAGGTAATATAGAACGTCTGTAAATATAAAAGTGTTTTATGTAAGATTAGTAAATAAAAAATTTAAATTAATGCGAATTTAGTTTTAAATTGTTCGTTAAACTTCTATTTTTTTCTTGGAGTTTCTTTTGGAGTCTTTCTTTGGTGTCGTTGAGTCTAGTATCACCTTGCTTGTTTTCCTTATGCATGTTGGTGTCAGAGTTGACTTTTTTATTCTTATTGGAGTACACGTTGCTTGTACTCTTGTTGAGGATTCTATTCTGGCTGCTCGAAGTGACTGGGATGATAGGTTGGCTCAAGCTGAGCAGAGCATCTATTGCCGTCACGTCAGCCGAGTTA